CTGATGTTACCACTTGGCTAGCAGGCTTGACGGATTGTGAAGACTGATTTCCCACCCCCCCGCCCCGCCCCAGTAGGAAGCACTGTGTGTGCCCAGCACCAAGGTGCCCTTGGATTGGATGAAAAGCAGCAGCTCTTATGCTTGCATTGATGCCTAAGCTGGGCGAACTAATAACAGTAAAACACTAAGGGATGGGGAGGATAATACTGCAGCCCCCAGGCTTTCTGCAGAAGGTTGTGTTGGTAAATGAGCTTGAGGTCTGATAGGGTGACCAGGGCTACACAGCCGGGGAGGGAGTCACATCGTGACCTTGAGGGTTATGGTTGTCTGGGTGGAGAGATTAGGGGCGAACCAATCCATGTTTGCACAATCCTCTCTGCAGTTCCTCCGCCAGCTCCTGGTGCTTCCCAGGGACCGTGAGCCCCGGTCATAGCCCTCAGTCTTGTGCACAATGGGGTTGCTTGTGCTGGGCCCCATGTCCAGCATGTGAGGAGCAGGGCGCAGCGTGGCCAGCTCGGCTCCCTGGCTCAGGGTTTGCGGAGGCAGGCACTTAGGGCATGGGGGCTGGGTGCTGGCAGTGGCTGCAGCCGTGGCTGGGGTTAGGAGCAAGACCTGTTATGCCTCCTGCTCCGCTGCAGGGCTTGGGAACCCGGCCTGAGAGCTCCTGGGGCTCAGCTCACCCCCCTGCTCAAGCAGGTCTCGAATGCGCTGGTTGCCCTGCTCCTGTGCCAGCCGAGACCGGGCATCACATGGCATCACAGGGCACCAAGCTGCTGGGCAGGGGCCTCTGCTCCTCCCTAGTCCCAGCTGTGCTGGCTCCAGACACTTTGCTCACAGGACTGGGCTTGCCCTGAGGATCCAGTCTGGGTGAAGGTGGGCAGAAGGAAACTAGCGGGGGCAGGAGGATCTTATCACCCCAGGCACTATGGCCCCTGCCACCACCCATGGCCTTCCCCAGCATGGACCTAGGCAGGAGCCCCTTGCCCTCCCGCCCCAGCCTGCACTGTTCCCAGCAGTTCCTTGGCAGGGCAGGGAGTATCTTCCACTCATTCCTCCCTGCTCCACCCCACCCAGCCCCCCAGCTTGGCCAGGATGGGCTGGGCTGGGGGCTTGTTGCCCTGCTCCCCGGCCATGTGCTGGATCTCTGGGGCAGGGGCTGCTCTTGGAGGCTGGGTGTGCACCTGCTGTAAGGATGCTGTAGGGCACAGGGCAGGGGGTGGTGGTGCAGGAGAGGGACCATCCTTCCCAACAGGAATTCCCAGCATCTCTTGACAGGTTTTTTTTTCCTGAAACAGGCAGAAAAGGCCAAATCAAGCAGTCCCACTGGCTACACTCTGCCTGGCTGACCACTGGGGCAGCAGGGAGGGCTGAAGCAGCCAGGTGGTCCCCAGGGATGGAGCCCCCTGCCCCTCCCCATCCCCTGCCTTGTAGCTGTTGCTTCTGTCATCCCTTTCCTGCCCCAGTCCTGGATCACCTCCCACAACCCTGGCTGGCAGCAGCGGGAGCATCACTGCAGCCTCAAGCCACCAAGGAGGTGGCCACAGCTGGGCTAGGCCTGGCCCCCACTGCTCTTGCCATACATTTCATGAACCCTGGGGAGCCATGCAGCATATGCGCTGGACACTGCGTGCACGCCCAGACTGGGCAAGACCTTGGCATGGGCTGCAGTACGGGCTGCTGGTGCCCCCCCCCACTTCCCTCAAGCAGTTCAGCCTTGTCCCTGGCCACCGGTGCCCCAGCCCATTCTGCTTCGGTGGCTGTTTTATCCCTCCTGACACCTCCCCTGGGGCCGTGTGTGTACCGTCCCCAGCAGCCACACTGTCCTGCCCAGCCCAAGGGCATGGCACGCTGTGGGGTGCCCAGAGCGCTGGCTGGAAGGCAGCCCAGCCTTTCCCGGGGGCAGGGCTGAGCTAGCTGCATGCATGGCCAGGGGTGGGCAGGCCTAGCAGGATGGCACAGGAGCTGGTGGGTAGCCCCCCTCCAAGGCCATCCCCCTGCACCTCCAGGGGGCAAATAGGAGGGTCCTTCCTGCCTGGACAGCAAGGGCACCCACAGGCACAGGAGCTGGGGCATAAAGCGGCCCCATCCTGCTGCCCCTCGAGTGCCCCAGGCTCCATGAAAGCAGAAGCAGCCGGGTCTCACGCAGCAGCTTAGCCCTGGGCGTCTGCTTCGCCTTCGCTGGTGCCAGGCATCAGCGTTGCACAAGAGGCTGAGACTCGCATCCTGGCCCAGGGCGAGGGCTTGGGGGTGGGTGTCACCCCAGCCCCAAAGCCATGTGAGATGAAGAGCCCCCAGCCCAGGGCGGCACGGACACACGGAGCCACGCATGGGTCCACACCAGCGATTGACTTTATTTACTCGGAGCACAACGACTGCTTGTACAGTGGGAGGCAGGTGGGAAACAGAAAGGCCCAAGGCCATGGCAGCCCCCCACGCAGCGCTCGTCTCTACATTGCATTCACCTTGCCAGGCCGACGAGCACTCGCTCCTGTCCTGGGGCCCAGGCCTGCCCCTTGGTGTCAGCGTGGCAGAGCCTGGCCCTTGCAAAGCCTGCACCTGCCCTCGGTTCAGGGGAGCCGGAGGGCGCCAAGCTGGGAGGCGAGCTCTGCTGGTGGCTGCTGGGTCAAGGCAGGTCTGCACAGCCTGGACGCCTTGAAGAGCTGCAGGTGTGGTTAAGGCAGGGGGTGCCCTGCGGGGTGGGGGCATCGGAGTCCACCTGCCTTCCAAGCATGGGGCACGAGCAAAAAAGGAACGTGCCCCCCTGCCTTCCCACCCCCCCCAATCACCCGTCCTGGTGTAAGAGGGGTCTTGTGTCCATTTGTATTTCCTTCCCTGTTGTTGTTTGCTTGGCAAAAATAAGTTAACACTGAACGGCACAAAGGAACCACTCACTCCGGAGTATATTTAATATACATATATTTATAATATATATGTACACACAGTTAGCGCGGTCTGAGCGTTAGGGGGTGGAAGGGGAGCGGGGAAGGGGGAGCTGGCAGAAAGCAAGGAAGTCAGGCACATCCCACCCAGTCTCTCTGGGCCTCCTGTCCCCCCATCCGACCTGATCTGCAGGGCGGGGACATGAGCTGAGATCCCCCAAGGCTCGCCCCAGGCTGCCACCGCTGAGAGCATCAGGGCCGGTCTGTTTGGCAGGCCAGATGCAGACCAGCTCTGACCACTGGGAGCACCCAGACCCGCACCTGGGGGAGCAATGGTCACAGCTGGGCAGGGCAGCTCTGGACTCTCTGGGCACAGCTGGATGTTCTGGGGTTGGGGCAGGGACAGCCACTGCCCAGCTCTGCTGCCGCTCATTTTGGGGTCGTTACAGGCAGTGTCCACTGGGCAGTGAGCCTCCCGCAACCTCCAGCAGGCAAGAGGGTCCAGGCTGCGCGTCCAGACTCACCCTTTCTCTGTGACCCCTGAAAAGCACAGAGCGGATGTGGCTGGAGCTTGGTGGTAGCAGTGGGATTCAAACCTGCTGCTTCTCAGCGCCTGGTCTGTGCCCATGGCGGGGGGGCGGGCGGGCAGGGGGCTCCCCACCTCCAGACCAGCTGCCTTCTGCCAGTGCTCTCCCCCTGCCCCGCTCCCTGGGCTGGGGTCTCCCCCGCCGGAGCAGGGAAGGAGTTTCTGAACAGTCGTTTCACACGGAGAGAGGTCGGAAACAAGGGGTCACGCGAAGCAGAAGGTGCCCCACGTCCCCGCCTGGCCTGGCCAGCGCACACCGGGGACAGGGGCAACTCGGCCCTGCAGCCACCGGGCCGGACGCTGGGACCAGAGCAGGGCCACAGGCCAGGGAGGTGGCGCCCCGCCGAGGGGCAGGACGGGGGCACCGGGGACACGAGCGCTGGCTACAGACACGATGCACGCTGCAATCTGAGCTTTTATTAAATAAAATATATTAACATCAATCTCTTCAGTCGGAGGCTGGGAATGCCCTCGCTAGCCCTACCCCCCACCCCCCGCCCCCGTGTTAGTGAAGCTGTTACCAAGAACCACGCCTGTTCCTGGCCTGTCACCCCAACTACCCCCCCCGGGACACGAGCGCTGGCTACAGACACGATGCACGCTGCAATCTGAGCTTTTATTAAATAAAATATATTAACATCAATCTCTTCAGTCGGAGGCTGGGAATGCCCTCGCTAGCCCTACCCCCCACCCCCCGCCCCCGTGTTAGTGAAGCTGTTACCAAGAACCACGCCTGTTCCTGGCCTGTCACCCCAACTACCCCCCCCACACACACCCCTCTAGGAGGACCTCGGGGCCAATCCTACATGGTGCGGAGACCCGGGGCCCTGAGCACAGCTTGGCCCTGCTGTGCGGCGGGGGCAAAGCGGAGCCCTCCCCCCAGCCCGGGCAGACAGGGAGCAGGGCTGTTCCAGTGTCTTCCCCGGGGCACATCAGTGGCCAGGCACCGGGTTGCCCTGGCTGAGACGCCGGCCTGGGGCCAAGGGATGCAGGCTCCCCTGTGGGTCCTGGCACTGGCCCAACCATGGGGCAGCCGCAGCTCAAGCCTCATGGATGCGGTTTGTGCTTTAGAGCAAAGGCTCTGCAGCCTGGGCCAAGCCCCTGGGGCCGGGCTGGAGTCACTGGGACGTGGGCAGGGGTTGAGCACAGGCACCTACTGTCCCACAGGCCCAGTGGACCCCATCCAGACCTGGCCATGAAACCAGAGGGTAGAGATGCCCCCAACTCCAGCCCCTGCCACAGCCCCACGAGCCGCCCCTGCTGCCTGGGCAGTGCCCCAGAGCCATCCACCTCCTGCCTGGTTGCCCCCACGACGAGCAGTGTGCCGACAGGGTGTGAGCATGCGCCCCAGCCTCCTCCAACGCCCCTGCAGAGGCCTGGTTCTCCCACCCAACCCTGAGGGCAGGGGATGGCCTGGGGGGCTCAGGCCCACCAGAACCTGCCCTGCCACAGCCAGGCCTTGATTGCAACAAGGGCACAAGGCACAGGCTGCCACAGCACCCAGCCCAGCAACCTTCCCAATCAAGGCCAGCAGCTCGGCGCCCACTGGCTGCACCCGAGAGCCAGGCAGAGCAGACAGGGTGGGGGGGTAGCAGTGGGGTGCAGGTGGGACTGATGAAAGATCCAGTGCCTTTGCCATGGTGCTGCCAGCCTCCCTCCTGGACTGAGCGTGCACAGCCCAGGGCCTGTGAGAGCCAGGCTGGAGGCACTGGCCTGGAGGGGTCCCCACCATAACGCCAAGAGCTGTGCCCAGGCCCCTCCTGGCCAGTGACGGGGGGCTCCAGGCACAGCCGGGGAAGGGACATGGGGACCTGAACCGAACGCCCACTGCCAAGAGCCCACGCACTCGCTGCCTTAGCTCCTGCTCCCTCCGCTCAACCCCGCTGCCCTGTGCGGCTTGCCCGGTGCCTGCGCCTCTGCCTCACACCCTCCACAGCCCCCCGCCCAGCTGTGCCCAGCACCCAGACCAGCTCTGGTGCCATGCAGGGAGCCGGCAGGGGGTGCTCCGGCCCCTTCCCCCACCCAGCCCCTGCCTCCCAGCCCCTCCTGACCCACGGGGGCTGCTCGTGCCTGCGTGCAAGGGCCCGGCTGTGCAAGTGCTCCTGGGGGTGCGTGCGCCACTGTGCAGTGTGGGGGTGTGCGCAGCGGCGTCCCGCCTTGTGCAAATCCACTCACATGTGCCAGGGCATGAACACATGTGTTCACAGGTGCGCGAGGGGTGTGCAAGCGGGATGGTGCAAGCCCTCGTGTGCCCAGGGGCAGCGTGCTGGCTAGGGGTGCCCAAGCGGCCTGGGTAGGGAGCAGCCCCCCCACTCTTTAGCCTCATCCCCCCTCCCCCCCAGCCACATTTCCCCATCCTCCTCTCTCCCTCCCAACGTGCCCTGTCCCTCTCTCTCGCCCACCGGGCTCTTGTCTCAGGGACATTCGCTTCGGGTCCCGCCCCGTGGGGTGCAGGTGCAGGGGCAGGGGCGGGCGCAGGCTTCTGCTGAAAGAGGTAGGGACCCCCCCTCCCCAGAGCCGGACCCAGAGCGGACCCAGACCACCCCCTGCTCCCCTGGGCCAGGTGTCAGGTGTTAAGACGGTGTTAGTGACCAAGGCGGCCCTCCCTACACCCCCTCCCATCTGGCCATGCGGCAGGGGGGCAGGGTGGCAGGGGCAGGGCCGCTGGGGGGGTGATGGTGGCAGAGGGGGCTGGGGGTGGCAACGTGGCCTGGACTCCCCCCTGCCCCTTCCACCTCCCCTCAGGCTTTCTTGGGCGGGGGGGCCAATTTGATGATCTCCTCTTCTGAGGGCTGCCGGATGATGTCTGTGGAGAGAGGGGAGTGGTGAGCAGGGCAGGGACGGGGGCCCACTTCTACCCCAACCCCCCCCAGCCCTGGGTGACAGGTGGGGGCTGCCGAGGCCCCTGCAGAGGGCAAGGGCAGGAGGAGCCTCTGGGCCTCAGTGCTGTCCACCCCGGGGCCCAGCACCTGCAGCTGGTAGGGGCATCAGGGGGCCGTGCCCGGCCTGGGACTGCGGGGCACCAGGAGCAGCTCTCACGCTGGGTGCCAGCAGGGCCCCTCGCCAGGCTGGTCCCAGGGCCCCGTGCCAGCCCGAGCAGCAGCTCCAAGACGGGGTCAGCCGCAGAGGACAGGGGGCTAGACACACTGCGAGCCCATCCGCCGCAGGACCCCTCACCACCTCCCCATCACACACATGCGTGCACACACTCATTCCCTCCCTCCCTCAGCACCTCCCACTGCCTCCCCCTCAGCCCTCCCATGCCACCTCCCCGACACGCACACACACACTGGTCATGCCCACTTCGCTTGGCTCACACACCTTGCTCGCACACTGCTCCCCTCCACCCCTGCAGACACCTCCCGGCCACCCTTGCCCCTCACACACACACCGGCTATGCCAGCCTCCTCCTACACCAGCTCTTCACACACAGGTACATGCCTCCCCCCACCTCCCCTTCATGTCTGCACCCTCCCCTCCTTGCACAGAAATCCATATGCCCTGTGTGTACTTCTCTCCTGTACACACATGCCCATGCTGACACCCCTGCCACCATCAGCACACAGGTCTGACACGCAACCAGGCCTCTTGCAGATGTCCCTTCCACATGGCCGCACGCACACGTGCCCCTGAAACCTCTCTCCTCCTGCCAACATGCTTCTTCGTGCATCCAAGGCACCCTGCCACCCCCATGCATGACTGTTGGGAAGTGCCCATCCCCCTGGCCTCTGGGCCTTCCCACCCCTGCAGCAGGGAATATCCCCTGGGCATAGGTCACCCTGGCATCCCTAGCCCAGATGGGTGCTCAGCCCCAGCCAGACCTTTGTACTTCTTGGCGCTGGGGATGCGGGTCAGCTTGGTGTCCACCTCGTCCTCCTCGGAGATCTTCAGCACCTGGGTGCGGTACTCCACCACCATGGTGAGCAGGTCTGGGCGCCGGGAGATCTCAAAGATGTGCTCAATGTACGACAGGTTGTCTGGGGGAGACAGCAGGCATGAGCTGGGGAAGGCCCTCAGGTGTGCTGGGCACGAGGCCCCGTGCGGGAGCATGTAGGTGTGTGAAAAACAGAGTTCAGGGTGGGTAGGGAGGAGAGGAGGGGACAGCGCTGGGATGGGGTGGGTGAGAGTGTGCGAGCGCACAGGGAAGGGAGATGCACTGCAGGTTAGGACTGGCGCTGCTGCATGTGTATGTGATGGTAGCAGGCACCATGGCGCAGGCTGATGCGGGTGCCAGCTGGGTGTGGGTGCTGTCTGGGGATATGGGTGCCAGCTTGGGGGTGTAGATGCCGTCTGTGTGTAGGTGCCAGCTGGAGGGAGTAGGTGCCATCTGGGTGTGGGTGCTGTCTGGATGCAAGTGCCGGCTGGATGTAGGTGCTGTCTGGGTGTGGGTGCCAGCTGGGGAGTGTAGGTACTATCAGGGGGTTGTGGGTGCTGTCTGGGTGTAAGTAGCTGAGGGGTAGGTGCAGCAGCTTTGCTCTGGGGTGGGGGAGGCTGTGGGGAGTCCCCAGCACTGCGGCCCCAGGGCAGCCCTGCTTGGCACAGCCCACGGGGAGGGGGCAAATCCCTCTGGCATGGGGCAGCACCAACATGTACTGTCCCAACATGCACCAGGCTCCACTGGACTGGGGGGGCATACATCTGCTCAGCAGTCTTCGGGGGTGCTCCCCACACACCCCCTCCCCACCAGGGGCCTGACCCAGCAGGGCCCCATCTACCAGAGCGCTTTCGTGGGGCCCACCAGGTTTCCAGGCGCCTGGGTGCTGCTCAGGCAGGCCACTGTGTGCCCACCTCCCTCCCCGGCCTGTGTCTGTGGCAGGTTGTGTGCAGGAGCGAGTGTGTTCCCCGGGTCTGTGACCTGTTGTGTCCTTCTCGGGCACATTGGGACGTGTGTGTGCTCACACCGAGGCTGCATCCCCCTCGTGCTCTCACTGGTCAAAGGGAGGGGATCTCAGTTGCACATGGGTATCTCTTGCTCGCTGGGTTTTATGGGAGGGTGTGTGTGCATGTGCATGTGGATATACGTGTGTGTGCACGCACATGCACCATGTGGCTTTGCAAGGGCTGGGCACACGGACCATCTCAGGTCTCTGCCCGGCACCCTGCTCTCAGCACCCTGGTCACAGCCACGGGAGCAGCATACGTTGGTATGTAGGGGCTGCCTTCCAAGTGCCCCGTACCACAAGCTGGCAAGGAGGGGACACCAAGGGCCTCGCCAGCTGCTGGTGTGGAGGGTGGTTCCCACCCGCAGACCCAGATCTTCATGCAGCAGCTGCAGGGGCAGTCTTTGGTGCCCGGCCGAAGGGACAGGGGCGGGGGGCAGGGCCTTGTCCCGTGCGCTCACCCTTGTCCAGCTTGTTGTGCTTCTCCAGGAAGCTGAACCAGTCCTTGCTGGTGGCGATCTCTTCGCTCTTCTCACTGGGGATGTCCTCCTTGCAGGCCGACTTCAGCTGGTCCAGGTCCTCGCGCGTGATGTTCTCTGCCAGCTCCTCCAGCAGGCTGCAGTACTCGGCCATCTCTGCAGGGGCACACGGGACCAGGCGGGTCACTCACGGGTCCCGTGCCCCCACCCCCTCCACTGGCCCCCATAGTGCAATGAGTCTGCGGGGCCTCGGCCTCGCTCCCAGGGCTCCGCAACAGTGCAGCCTGCTCTGCAGTCCCCAGGACCTGTCAGCCAAGCCCCCGTGTGCCAGGTGCTGCACAGACACCTTGGGAGAGACAGGCCTTGCCCTGAACACAGTGAACAGCAGAGGCAGACACAGGTGGGCAAGGAGCTGCCTGGCCCAAGGGCACACAGCCAGGCGCAGAGCCCAGATCACTGGGGCCCCATCCAGCGTGTCCCCAGCAGGCCCCAGGCCAGGACAAGGCTGGACATGAAACCCAGGTGTCCTGGAGCCCAGGCCTGCCTCATCCACTGAACGCAGATGGTCCCAGCAGGCTGCTGGGCCTCAAGCCCTTCGTCGTGCAGTGAGCTGGCACCAAGGATGATACCAAGCACACAGCCATCCCAGGCTGGGCTCAGGGCAGCACAGATACGTGCCCGAGGCCAGGTGGACCTCCCAGGGCAGAGTGTATTAGTGTAGGTTTGTGGTTCAGGCTACAAACAGGGCAGGGATGCCCGAGTTCCCTGCCCAGCCCTGCCTCTGACCTGGCTGTTTGCCACTGAGATCTGGGAGTACACTGCGTCGGCACCACTGTACCCACGGGGAAACCAAGCCACGTGGCAGGGAAAGGCAGTCACCCAAGGCTACCTAGCAAACCAGTGGCAGAGCTGGGAACTGACATCTGGGGCCTATGTGCTGCATGGCTCTGCTTACAGGGCAGATAGGCATGCAGGTGCCATCCAGGTAGAGCCCAGCGCCAGGACTCCCAGAGCTTGGGACCAGCAGCCAGAGGTGGCTCTGGGCGCCATGCGGTTCCCCATGAGACTGGAGGGCACAGCAGGTAAGGCCACCAGCTGGGGGAGCCCTCGTGGCAGCACAGCATCCCCTCCTGGCGCAGCCCCACCTGGCACCCTCCACCGCCACCCTGGGAAGATGCGCACGTGCTTCAGGTATGTTCTAATAACAGGGACAGAGCACCCTCGGGGGCAGCCGCAGGGCCCTGGCACCATCCCCTGAAACACTGCGGCTGTCCCTGACATTGCTGCCCCCCGCACTAGTGTCAGCAGTGGGATACAAGCTGGCACCTCCATTTGGAAAATGTCATCTCTGTGGCCAAGCCCTGTCTCTGTGCCTTGGAGGGCAAGCCCCCTCCTTCAGGCAGCAGGCCCTCCTGGGCCCTGAAGATCTCCAAGCCGATGGCTGCAGCCTGGCAGCCCTGCCAGCTCTGCTCAGCTGCTCCACGAAGTTCAAGAGCCTGACTGAAAGCTCTGGCCTAGGGGTACATGGCGGGGGAGAGGGGGGAGGAGTGCTGTGGTTAACCCAGCACAGGCCATGCCCTGCTGGGCGCATGCCCACAGACCCCAGAGCTGTGATCTGCCTGGCAGTTGTGTGCAAGCCCCACGCAGCAGGCCCCAGGGAACAGCATCACAGGGCGCAGGCGCGCAAGCTGCAGGCTCAGGGCAGGGACTTGCACGGGGGTGTGCAATTCAAGGATGCTGCTGGCTCATGCTTGTCTGTGCGGCTGAGGCTGGCGGGCAGAGGCTGGGGGCTTGTCAGAGAGGTGGGGGCCAGGGTGTGCATGCCATGGGGCAGCGGGTGCAGAAGGAGATCAGCTTGCTGCAGCCGGTGGCCCCTGCCCGAGCCCGGCTCAGGCCGGGAAGTGGATCGTGTCCCAAAGCGGCAAGCTCTGCAGCTGCTGGATCTCCCGATGCTGCCAGTTTCCACCTCCGCAAACCCATGTCCTCACTTTTGGTCCCACTGGACTCACCCAAGACCCCGTCATTGTCTCCGAATTCCCGGTGCAGCCTGCACAGACCCCACAGGGGGGTCATACCCCAGCGGGGGGGCAGCAGCTCCACTGTCCTGGAATTCAGAGCCAAGGGCAAAGCCCAGAGGCCTGGACAGGGTGGTGGGGAGGGGGTGGGGCCAGGGGCCCAAACGCGCCGTGCACACAAGCCGGCAACCGGGGGCCTTGATTTTCCAAGAGAACAAAGCGATGGAGGGAGACTCCCCCCTTCCCCCTCCCGCGCAGAGCCGCCAACCCCATTAATTCTGCTCGTACCCGGCGGTGAATTATCCAGGGACTGGGGAGGCGATGGGCTTCCCAGATGGCACTCGGCAGATGAGGGTGCACTCCCACGGTGCTGACCTGAATGTGATGGCGCCGCCCCCGTCCTCCAACAGACAAGCCACTTGCTGACACGTCCCCTGACAGCGGGGAGAAATGGGGGGCTGCACTCGAGGACCCACAGGCACCACAGCCTCCGTGCTGCCACGGCACGCAGATCCTAACCTCACACTCCCCCTGCCTGGGCGCACAGCACCACGCAGGACGCACACCCTCCATCCAACATGGCCAGACTCAGGCCCACTCCTCTCCGCAACCAGGCACCCCTGCTGCACGCAGCCCCACACAGCCACTCCCCAGCACCCCCGGCGATGCATGCGATAGGCTCGGTCACACTTGCACCACTCCACAATTCAAACGCACACACATGCACGCAGATGCACACACACACACACACACACAAGCTGTGGGGCTGGGGAAGTAGCGGGCTGGGGCTTCCTGGATGCTGCGCCGTAATGCATGTGACACTCATCGGCTCTGACAGAGGCAGGAGACACAGGGAGCAGAGCGCTGAAGCCCAAAGCCTGAGCAATCAGGCCACGCTCCGGTGCACACTTGTGTGTGCACACGTACTCGCATGCACACACATGCAGGGAGGAGCATGCTGGATGGGCTCTGTCCAGCCTCTTGCACCATGGGCTGACCCCCTCGGCTCCTGAAGCATGGCCGTTGGGAAGCATCCTGCAGCCATGGGCGCTGGCAGGAGAAGAGGAGGGACGGCCTGCGTAGAAGGTCCTGTCTAGTCCGGAGGTCCCGTCTAGTCCAGGCCCTGCTTGAGGCAGGTAGGTCCCCATCCAAACCAGCCCAGACAAGTGCTCATCTAACTTGTCCTGCTGCTGTAACAGCTTTATAATGCGCTGGAGAGATCCCAAGCAGAGGTCACGCCCCCTCTACATCCCTTCCTGACCCCAAATCTGGTGTCGGTCTGACCCTGAGCAGAGAGGCAAGACCTTCCAGCCAGGACCCTCTGGCTTTAAGTCCCAACAAGAGCAAAAGCCCAGTCCCCATCCCAGCGTGGGCTGGAGCCAACACCCCGTGCCTCTGAGGGCGGTGGAAAAAACCCCTGACATGCCTAGCAGCAGCGAACACCCCCAGCGATGAAGAGTCCACCCCTTCCCTGGAGCCTAGTCCACTGCCTCCTGCTCTAAGAGGGAAGAGATTTTCCTGATCTCATTTAAACCTACTTTGCTGCAACTTCAGGCCACTGGTCCACCTCCTCCTCTCTGCAGCAAGAGAGAAAAGGTGCTTTTTCTCTCCTGTAATGGCAGCCCTTCAGGTATTTTATTTGAACACTGTTGTCATGTCCTCTCTTAAGTCTCTTTTCCACAGGCTGAACACAGAATCACAGAAATCCAAGAGAAAGAGGGTGGGAAGGGACCTCAGGAGGTCACAACCAATCCAACCCCCTGCTTAAAGCAGGACCAGCCCCAACTACACCATCCCAGCCAAGGCTTTGTCTGCCTGGGTCTTAAATACCTCCAAGGAAGGACTGGGGACTCTACCACCCCCCTGGGTAACCTGTTCCAGTGCTTTACTACCCTCCTCGTGAGGAAGTTTTCCTAATATCCAACCTCAACTTTCCTGGCTGCAACTGGAGCCCATTGCTCCCTGTCTGTCATCTGCCGCCACTGGGAACAGTCCAGCTCCATCCTCTTTGCAACCCCCTGCGTAACATGCCCAGCTCCTTGAGCCTCTCTTCCTAGGATTTGCTTTCCAAGCCCTTGTTCATCATTGTTACCCATCTCTGGACCGTCTCTGACTTGTCCACATCCTTTGGAAAATGCAGAGCCCAGAGCCGCACGCAGTATCCGGATGCCGAGCAGAGAGGCACAACCACTGCCCGCATCTTGCGCCTATGATGCACCCCAAAACCACACCTGCCTTCGGTGCAGCTGCATGGCACCGCGGACTCACGCGGTCTGCGATCTGAGACTCCTGGACCCTCCTCCATAGAGCTGCTGCCCAGTCGAGGGTCCCCCATCTGGGATGTGGGGTTTTGACCCTTCCCCAGGTGCAGCCCCTGCATTTACCAGCATTGAACTTCCCCCATTAGCTCCAGCCCAGCCTTCTCATCTGTTGAAGCCTTCCGACGTGTTTACAGCCCTGCCCCGTTTCGTGCCACCTGTGCCAGCATCCAAATCATTACCGAATGCACTGAATAGCAGCACCGGGCCAGGACAGGTGAAGCGAACCCCCATCGGGGCTGGTTCAAGTCCTGAGAAGAGGGGGCATTGGACAGCCGCCAGAGCCCCTGCAGGCCAGCCCCGCGAGGCTCAGGGCACAGGCGGCACGGCACACCTCAGTGCCCCATGTCCTTCCCCCAGCGCCCGCACGTGTACAGAGCCGTGTCCTGCCCCCACCAGCCCCGTGCCCTGCCCGAGGGGCCATTGGGACCCCCTGGCACCTCCAGGGATGAGGCTGGTGCTGGCCGCGCTGGGTCAGGGCGGGGGTCATGCTTGTCTGTCCCCACACCCGCCCCCGCGCCAGCCCAAACTCCCTTTCCCTCAGCCATCTCTTGCTTCCTCTTGGTTGCCTTGGAAACCACTGTCCTCCACCATGACGGCAAAGGCGGTCGCTGTAGCAACCACTATTTCCTTCATTTCTTGTTTTCTTCATCCTTTTCCCTGCGGCACGGGAGGCCTCCCCCCCACCTCCCTGTACACGGGCCCTGGCGGTGCCAGCCGGGCACGGCTTCATCAGGGCCTGGTGGGGTGGGGGCGTGTGTGCGGGGAGCAATCCCCCCCATCTGTCTGCACCTAGCACGTGTCTGTCTGTCACCCCGTCCCAG